TATTATTATTATTATTATTATTTTTTTGTCTTTTTTCGTGACCGGCAATGGATCGCAACCCTCAGTGTTGCGCCCGTACCAGACCGGGACCGGCAACGGGATCGCAACCCTCGGCGTTGCACCCGCACCTCGCTCAGCCAGTGAGCGGCCGGTCTGTATGTGGGATCCGAACCCTCGGCGGGAGCGCCGCCACACTCCCAAGCGGCACACTGTAGCAGTGCGCCACTGGGCCGGCCCTCCCTTTATCTTTTGATACTCAAAATTATGCACACTAATTTGGCTCTCTCGGGCTGGCCCAGTGGCGCACTGCTACAGTGTGCCGCTTGGGAGTGCAGTGACGCTCCTGCCGAGGGTTCGGATCCCACATACAGACCGGCCGCTCACTGGCTGAGCGAGGTGCGGGTGCAACGCCGAGGGTTGCGATCCCGTTGCCGGTCCCGGTCTGGTACGGGCGCAACACTGAGGGTTGCGATCCATTGCCGGTCACGAAAAAAGACAAAAAGGAAAAAAAAAAAGATAAAGGGAAACACCCCAGGGCAGCAGGGAATGCGTTCTGAGTGTATGCGGTTACCAGCACATGCCAGCCCCGACAGGCCCTGCTGAAACGGACACGAACTTCCCCAGCTCCTGCCACCGGGGCGGCGCTTACTTCTCTTGTTAATTTTGTTCAGTCCACAGGCATCACGTCCCTCCTTTTCCTCACTGTTTATAACTTTTCCAGTGCACAGGTGGCTGTCACATAAAAACAAAAAGTGTACCGGATCCGAGTTCCAAGCTCGGCTGCCGCACTCCGGACCTCATTTGCCACTGCTGCTGCAGTTTGGTGGCTCCAATTTTGCGTGTTTTTGACAAACACTTCTCTCTCTTTTCACAAAGACTAGAAGAGGGAACCCCCAACTCTGGTTTACAAAGATACTATCCTTTTTTGTCCAGAAAACCGGTTTTGTTTCTTGAACACCTGGCACTATTTTGTTCCCTGCTCAATTCTGGCCAGAAATGCCAGGCAGAGGGTCGCCTTTGCTGCCAGGGGCCAGCTCACCTTCACGTGTTTGACTGTGTGAGCCAGACTTGGCTTCCACACCTGTCTCAGGTGACATGTGCTTGCCGTCCCAGCCAGTGGGTCTGGGCTCCGAGAGGACCGCAGCCTCCAGGAAGACAGCCTCTTGAGGCTACCAGCAGAGAAGTTCCTGCCGAACAGGCAGCCCTGCTCTCTCCCTGAAGGAAGCTTGCTCTGGCTGCACACATTTGAGTGGTGCCTGCTGGGGCACAACATGCCAAATTCCAAAACCCTGGAGTGCCTTAAATCTAGTCTGCTGACAGCTCCTTCATAGAGGAACAAGGAGTCATAAATAACCAACATTAGTTTTCAGCAGAACAGTGACTATCCATTTTCATGTTAATGAAACACGAACCCAAGGCATTTCAGAAGGAGAGCTCTGAACGTGAACAGGCCGTGTACGAAAGTGCTTCAGAAACATCACTGGTCTCTAGAAGTCAAGTCATTTATGGCACTCGGTGGAGCAAAGGCGTGTGCCAGGCCTTGGCAAATTCACTCAGGATGAGACCATAACACCCTGGCTGTCTGCAGGCAGGGCCTGGGGCTGAAGCTGGCAAGGCCCTTCTGCTCTGGTGGGAGGGACAGAGTCGTGTTTGTCTTATGGGTCCTCAACCTCAACTTTATTATTATTTTTTTTTCCTTTTTGTCTTTTTTTACTGACCGGTAACGGGATCGCAACCCTCCGTGTTGTGCCCGTACCGGGGACCGGCAACCGGATCGCAACCCTTGGTGTTGCGCCCGCACCACGCTCAGCCAGTGAGCGGGAACCGGTCTCCACATGGGATCCGAACCCTCGGTGGGAGTGCCACTGCGCTCCCAAGCGGCGCACTCTCCAGTGCGCCACTGGGCCGGCCCTCAACCTCAACTTTAAAAAGTAACATCTACACACCACCAGCACCTCGGGGCCTGCCTGGGGACCGAAGGTGGGGAGCTGCGGACCGGACACCCCCCTCAGAATCAGACACACCACCAGCACCAAGGAGCAGGCCAAAAACATCACCTCCATGTAGGTGGCCCACCACAGCCACTACAATAACCATGGCTGCCACAAAAGTGGTTAGATGCCACAACCACCACACAGATGGTCCTCCAGTCACTGGAGTGCACTGACACAAGGAGAGTCACCAGCAGAGATCAAAGAAAAGAGGATGTCTCGCTCCACAATGCCCATTCCAGAGTGACAGAAGCATCTGCTCTACAATAACACTGGGGGACCTGAACATACCTCTCAACATTGGACAGATCATCTAGGCAACAAATCAACAGAGTAACCTTTACTCTTTCAGAGGGAGAGAAGAAATCTAGGCTAATTAAGAGAGCGGAGGGAAAGGGAGATAGGGAGAGATTGGACAAGGGGCATAAAGAATAAGTACAATTTGTAACAATATATATGGTAATAATATTGATTTGATCAATATATGTCAACGTCGAACCCCCAAAATACGTATAATCAATTATGATTCAATAAAAAAAAAAAGTAACCCTTAATAAT